AGCCCAATAAATTGTTGATTTTAATTTTGTTTTTTCATTTTATATTTTTCAATGGGTTAATTTCACAAATGGTCACTGAAATTACAGCAAAATAACAAAATAGTCAATGAAATTCCAAACTTGCATTAACGGTCACTCAACTTTCAGGCACTTTCAAAAATGATCACTGGGGTAAGTTTTTGGACTTTTTTGTTCTAATTGAAACCTAAATTAACAAAACACGGCCCCTTCAAAATTGGAGGACCTACAGTGTAATTCCTTTTTTTATAAAACACCAAACCCATAATTGTCTGTAAACTTCCGGCGATTTATGCCACACTTCCAACCAGCAAGAAGAAAATACAGAATCACCAGCCGAAGGTGAGCCTCGACACTCCCAAATCGTAGGTAAGCTTCCAATCAACCTTAATCATCAATTTCTTCTTCAAAAATCATACGGGACAGTGAATATACTTCCAATTTTTTCAGCGAAAATCGAAGTGTGGGGACGACCGCAATCTTCTAAAATATATTCGACATGTCGGATGTGGATGAACAAGATGAAGGTTAGCATCTTGGTTTTAACGTTTTTCGCGTAAAGGTACTTTTGACAGATTTTGGGTCCATTTTAATTGGTTCTTTTTGGGTTGAAATGGAATAAAGTCTCCAATTAATATGTTGTCAGTTCACGTAAGGTAATAATGGCAGACAAAATATGTGTATGACTTGGTGAAGAACAGATCTGCCCATTTCTTATTGTGTTGTCTGTTATCTAGGAATCACTTTCATCAATATTTTTACATCTTACTATAACTTTTCAATTTACCTTAGCTGATACACTATATTTAAGCATTAAGTTATTTCTCCAATATTATGTTTTCTGTAGCCACATGAAACAGAAAAACAATGTTTGCATACAACCAATACTTACAGTTCATCACCTTGTTCATCATATGTTCATATAGATTATTATTTTGCACTGTACAGTAAGCTAATTCTGTTTTATAATTTCCCATTGTTTGGGTGATTTGAACAGTGCTTCGGATAAAGAAGATGTCACCTTTAATGATTCTGATCACAGCCTTGGTAAAGAAGACGACATTCTCTTTCAGGAAAATGTTACCCAGAATATTGAACTTGACATAAGGAATGAGATAGTATCGTTGGAAGCAGCATACGAATCTGAAAATTCTGAATATGACCCTCAGATGACCTTCGAAGCGTTCATTCTAATAGTAATGAAGAAGTTGTTACGTACCCAGAATTTAATGATGATGTAGATATGGTGGATCCCGTGCTTGAGGTTGGACTGAAGTTTAGGTCCAAAAAGGAGGTAAAGGGTGTGGTTAAAAACTTCAGCATTCACAATAGATTTGAGGTGGTCTTCCCGTATAATGATAGATGTAGATTAGAAGGTTGTTGCAAAGAGAAAAATTGTCCATGGCGTATTTGGGTTTCTCCGTTGGAGGAAGATTCATCGTGGCAGATTAAATTGTTCGAATGGAATCATACCTATAGTAGAGCATTGAAGAATATAAGTGTATCCGCTAGTTGGTTAGCCC